GGGGGGGGGGGGGGTCTTGGGACAGTCGTTCTGTCTCCTAATAAAAGGCTGTTTAAGGTTGTTAGTGACCTCTTAGTAAAGCTTGTAAGTTGTTTCAGAACAAAAAAATCTACCATAAGCAGGCCTAATGAGTAATGGTGCATGAATACAAGCAGGTCAAAGATTTACTGAGGTTTAATTCTGTTCCCTGCTCAGCTTTGAAGTGTTGTTGTGTTGGCTAAAACATGGACTTAAGCAATAAATTATTCCAATTGGTCTAATTTAACAAACACTAAGTATTTTGATGTTAGAAATTTGGAGATTTACTGAAGTGAATTTCCTTCGAATAGAACCTCAGGAACTATTCTTTCTGACTGCCCCTTCTCTCCCGCGGCTTTGCCCTTGGGTTTGTCAACCATTTTGGCATGTTCAGATAATCCTAGAAAACATGAAACATTTGCTATATTAACAAAAATTTTGCCTTTTAGAAACCCAAGTTTCTTCTGTTGATATGAAGGTCAACCATGTGTAATGCTGTTTGCACTGCCATTTGGTGGAACAGCACCATTTTTGTCATAGACGAGTGATAAATTATCCACATAGAAAAACCTTTTCAAAACAATTATACGCATAGAGATGGGAATTGGGATAAGCCTTATCTATCAATTAATTCTAAGCCTCAAGCTTTGGTAGAGGTCCCCAAATTTCACCAACCCTGATTACTAGATGTATCCTTATATCTTTATTTACTCCACAATTACGTTGGGTGAAGGAACATTTTCAAGAATTTTGCAACGTCAATGAGGTAGAGCTCTTTTTGTTCTCAAATACCGATTCATCTGTAGCTCCGCCAGGGTACCTTAGCAACTGCTTGCCTGGCCCTGCTTAATTCCGCATGCAGCACATAGCACCTCTCTGTTTAAAGTCGCCTGCCATTGCTGTCAAGATGTGATGATCATACGATTTCTGTAGCACTGACATTTAGCAAGCGTTTGGACATAGATTTGATTGAAACTTGAAAAAAGAGTTTTTGAAGTTGTGTTGAAAAATAATTTTTAAAAGTTGAAGTTGTGTTTGAACATGCATTTTATTTGAAGAAAAGTTGAAGTGTTGTGAGTGGAAGAAAAATTTTCACCCAAAAACTGTCCTAAACCGGTTTTTTGGAACTTGAAAATTTTTGAAATTTTTTTCCCAAAACATGATTATATTTCATAAACAAACAATGTTTTCAAATTTTTTTTGGAAAAATGAAGCCAAAATCTATGGCCAAACAGGAGCTAATAATTACTGAGTTCATAGCTTTTTAGTTCCTTATGTCAGTGTACCTCATAAAGAGGTCGCAATAGAGAATGGGCTCCTTAGTCCATAAGAGAGAGATGAAATACACTTTAGGATTTGATGTTGGTACTGGCACAATCTTTAACTTTCGACAGTAATGTACTCAGCTTCTTGGCCCTTCTGGGGTTCCTTTTGATGGGCCTTACTTTTTTTTTTCTCATATGAATGGACGATTAAAAAAAAAAAGACTAAATTTTCCATATCTTCAGAGTCTAAGGAGTTCAAAGGTTCCATTGGTCCGGCATTGGATGCTTTAATAAAAGAAGTCTTCATATGCATATGGAGATACTTAATTGTATGAGTAATTGGGTTGAATCAGCTGAACAGTGTGATCCAAAAGTTGGCTGAGTGCAAAATGGCGTTCAGTTACAGTGAGTGACAACACTTGGAGTCTGAGAATCGGGGGCCAACTTATGTAGGGAAGGGGTTAATGTGGAAGTTTAGCGGAAAATAAAAGGCAACTACTAGATTTTCTCGAGGGCTATCTCTATGAACTTATAGTATTTTGAAGTGTAAACGTTTAATTTCGAAATTAGGGGCTTGTATCCCCCATCTCGGGCCCCCTAATTTGCCATGTTTGGGGCTCTTTGACAGATTATTATTCCTATTGTTCTTTCTCTGATTATATTTAGAGACAGGTCGTGTTGGGTTGATATCTGCTTGGTTATAGGTTATGTTTTGACCCTCATTACAGAGTCAACACCAAGTGGCTTCTTTTAGTTCAAATTAATGACCGGGCCTGGAGTATCATACGGGGAAAGATGATACAGAACTGCAATATTCTCCTTTTGTCCAAATAAAGGCGCATCTCGATTAATTCCACAGAATACCTGCCACCTCCCACTAGCAATATGTACCTAGTAACTCCGTCCACCACCAAATAAAGTATATTTATGATAGAGATAAGAAAAAGAAGTGATGTGTATTATTATGACCTCTATTATTTTCCTTATCCCTTATAAGTTATATCTCATATTGTTGATCGGGATTAGCATGTCCCGTGGAAAGAAAGGATGCAGCAGGTTTATCCTCTAATTTAAGGCCTATACATTGGTACTTATTCCCTAGAATTTTCGACAGAACACAATTGACACTAATACTCTGAAATGTGAGCATTGTGCTTCATATACTTGTTCACAACATTTGCTTAGTTGTCAAAAATCCTTGGATGGTATTGAGACAGTCAGGCAAGTGAGATCTAATCTCAAGTCTATAGTATATGTAATTGGAACTTCATATGTTTTCTCAAGTTTTGACTATGATGTACCAATTACATATACATAATTTTGTTAACTTTTCTCTTTTTTTTCTACCCTTGCATTTTGGTGGCATAGCTGTTAGAAAACTAGTGAAAATTTAACATTACTTCATCACATACAATGTGACAACTTGCTAGTGCCTTCGTGTATGAAACGGTAGCCTACATTAAAGCATCATGAGATGTTTTATTACCTGCCAACTCAGAGAATGGTTATTGTGTTAGCTTAATCTCAATAACTTTGTGATCATACCGGATAAGCTGAGCATGGCTGTTATTCCTCTTCGCTTTTATTTTTGAATATTTCCCTTCTGCTTTACTCAAACTTTTGCTTTCATATGTTAAGGTTGATTTTTCAAGCCAAAGCACAAGTCAGAGTTAGCTGTGCTCTCAGTGAATCAAGTCAAGTTTGTTTATAGAAGCGGCTTATTATTCATTGCTTTCGGCAAATCAACTTCATTCTTACTGGGAATACAAACAACTTTACATGTAAATTTGCCAGCAGTTGTTTCTCCTAGTCCTCTTTCTTGTATGTAAGATTTAGTATTTTCCCTCCCCCTTCCTCTTGCGGCTTCATATTAAATTGTTAATGAAAATGATGTCAAATCTAGAATCATGGACTATGCATTTTATGTTCTTGCCAATGTCGGCGTATTAGTGGCAACCTCTTTCGAACATTTTTTCTGGGTTACTTCTTGTTGCGACTTTATTCATTATTTTGTGGCAACTAATGTCACAATGAAAACTAACTTTTTTTGTGGCGACTTTTCGAGTTTGTACAAGTTTTAGAGAAAGGACTACTTTTCGCTATTTGTGACTGATTTTAGTTGCCAAAAAAAGTTCTTGCACCCTAGTCAAATCCCATATCAATAAAATACGGACAGTAAACAAGCCTTAGACTCTAATAATGCGTTTTAAAGTCGTGCGAGCCTATGCATAAAGCAAACAATATTATTAGTGGGATAGGCTATTACATATCATGGCTACTTTGTGCCCAATCTTGAACGAATGATGGGGCAGACCTCAGCGATGACCTTGAATTCCTGAGGGGTGTGTGTGACAACTATCCCACATCGATAAAACATGGGAGAGATGCGAGGTATGTAAATAAACAAACCTTATATCCCTGGTGGCATGTTGGCAAAGTGGACAATATCACTAGTGAGCTGAATTGTTATACTATCTTGCTGTGACTATTTTAGAGCCTCTGAAGATGTAATTAGATTAATTTTCTTTTCTCGATTTCCAACTGTTGTGACCCTAAACAGTGGAAGACTATGGTTTTAAAGGGAAGTTTATGTTGCCCTTCAATATTGTCCCTAAGCTTCAATATGTGACAAGTTTACATAAACTGAAGAGAAAATTGAAAGTAACAGATGCAACGGATCTTAGTCAGCATCAATTGGTTTGGAATTGATTCCTAGTTGATTAATAGTCCGAAACTGTGTCACATTTAGTCAGTTGTTTACTTCACAAAAATTATATGCTCTTTCTGTCATGTCCAAATCTAACTTTAGCTCTTCTCTTGTTTTCTACTTCTATTTCATAATCCTTAGGATAACCCTACATACGTTCCAGCAATCATTCTGTGATGGAGCCTCAAATATCTTTGTCAAAAATGATTAGTGTGTCATTGAAAAAACCAAATCTGTAGGTATGATCAATCAATATGAGTATTTTCCGTGTATCAGTTAACTTTAATAATTTAGGGAATAACCAATTGATGTGATGTATGTTTATATATATCTGAAGAAACTAAAACAGTTGTAGAATTAAAAAAAGAAAAAAGAGTTACGTCGAGAAAATTTGACGAGAATGTGTCGAAAACATTGTTAATGACATTTGTGCCCCTCGGGCTAAAGAAGCACTCAATCCATCACTCCAGGGCGTGGGATTCCCACCTGTCCTGGTGTACAATACTTATATTGGTTCCCGCGGAAGAGCCACCTTTAAGCAAGAGTGTCAATTGGCACCCATTCCCCATAAATTTACATTGTGTAATTATTTTACGAGTCAGCAGACTTCTTTTCCTATCACTTTCATTTCGTTCTAGAAATCTAGTCTCACCGGGTCAGGCGAAGGGGAAGGAAGAGATGGATGGTCCGGGAACAACAACGAGAGAGGACCTCGTATTATATGTTGATTCCCTTTAGTTTCTTCATGTAATTATATTTTTTTGTATATTTTGACATACTTAGTAAAAATTCTTGCTCCACCACTTATTGGGACCCCGACGCCACGTAAGGCTGGAAAATTGCTCCCCACTCGAGATATTTGTTGTGTGTTGGAAAACAAACTTGGGTGCAAAACTTTTGGCAAAAAATATATATATATATATATATATATATATATAAGGATAAAGCTCCAGAGTTCATTCCGATGCTCAAATTGAATTGTTTTCCCTCTTTGTACGTTGTATTTGATTATCCATTTTATTTTCTCTTAAAAGATCAACTTTAGGTAGTAATTAATAAGAAAAGAATCATCTTAATCAAAGGAAGGGTCGTCAGGTCAACGGTCATGTGAAATATCGAAATTAAACATTGACAAAAAAAAAGACATAATTATAGGAAATGCGTTAATGCCTAATTTCAAGAAGGCGGAGTACACCGATAACCCCTTAAACTTGCCAATATATTTTAGTTGGACACTCAAATTAAAGGTTATTCAATTGAGCACCTGAACATCATATACCTATTAGACACTTGTTTGGAAGATTTTAGAAAAAAATGGTTCTTGAGAGGGGCGGCTCAAGTATTTTAGTGGCCTAAAGCCAAAATTTATTTGGAGGCCTTAAATTAAAAAAGTAAAACATATTTTTTCCCCAAAAAAAAAACTATTGCTCTAGCCTTTAGGGATATAAAGTTGTGAATAATTTTTTTGTTATCAATTTCTTCTAATAATTCTTTTTCGAATGACAATATAGTCAATTCATTTAATCTTTCGTGAGAATTATTGATCCTACATAAAATTTTATTAATTTTTATTTTAAAAAACTTATTTCTATTGAGGCAACTGTTACATGAACTGTTAATATTATTTTATAAAAAATAAATTCATTTGAAAAAGAATCAAGTCTTTTATTTGATTGAATGTGTCAATTAGAGTATTATTTTTACTTTGTAATACCTCACATTTAAATAAGGGTAGTTAAGTAATTGACTCAAAAAAAAGAAAAAAAAGTTAAGTGGGCCGAGACCCACCAGGAAATAGATTACGAGAGTCAATCAAAAGAAGGGATTGAAACTTTGCCTACAACTAAAACAAAAATAATGAGGGATTGTGGAGAGGAGTTCTAAAGTTCTCTATTAGCAACGTTGGGCGGCAACTAATTAAAAGCAAGGCGAAATCTTTCATCAATTGTATGCGATTAAGGTATAAAATTATTTTCACGTGATCTGGACAAATCCAACTTGACAAATTGATATTCAAACATGAAACTTCGAGAGTTGGGTATTCTAAATTAGTTACAAATTAGCCTAAACAAGATAGTTAATTCGAGAACGATATGATGTGATTATAGATTGATTGAAGGAAGGCGCACATATTGCTCGAGGAGACGTGTTTGGTATTTCAGTACGAGTACTGTGAGTAGTAATCTTTCCGCAATTTGTGTTTTCATAACCTATATAGTTTATACATTATTTTGAAAATAAAATGTATTACAGAATATTTGAAATTGCACGTGGGACAAGTCTATTACTTGATATGGTACTGAATAGTTTACTTGAAATGTTTACAGTTATTTAAAATGTTCTCACTGTTACTAGACATATTTTACTATTACTAGAGATATGATTACCGTTACTGAAATTGGATTACATGATTTGATAAAAATTGAAATGCCCTATACTTTTTGAAAATGCTTCCATGTGAAGATTTACTGTTTACAAAGAAAAGTATGAATGGGAGGAGACTTTGAAGGATCCCGTATCTAACAGCGGGTTCGTTAGACCTGATGCACCTTGTATTTACTGATTATCGAGTACAGTTAGAGCCCTCGCTAGTGGAAAGGTAGAACTAGCATAGAATTATAGTTTTTCCTCGAGTAGGGACCTACAATTATATTTGACTCCTCTTACGAAGGGGTCCACACAGTGATACAGATTACATGATCCTTTTCTGAAAACCTCCCAAATATAAAGGTTTGCTATGACACAGTATTTACCGAGCTTATTACTGAATTGTTAAATTGATTTTGTTACAGGAAACACATGACGAGACTGATTATTATTACCGTTTTAAAAAGGGTATTTTATTTTGTGATTATTATACAAGCACATTTTCTGACTTGTCCCCAATAAAAACGGTTGTGGTTAAGTGTTATTACTCACTGAGCTAGCGACTCATTCCCCACTATTTTTTTTACAGAGACAGCAGTTGACGCGGGCGAGGATTTCGTTAATTAGAGCGCACAGGTTGATAGTTCTTGGTGAGCCCCACACTTGTTTGCGTGGGCGAATATTTTATTTATTATTATAGTCTTTTCTTTAAACTTTTAGAGTCACTCCATAGTCATTCTTTTAGTGTCATGAGTATTCGTTTGTTATTATAGACTTATATTGGTTATCGCTCTTTATTATCAATGTTGGAAATAAATTAGTATTTCTAGTTATAAGTGGGTGGATTATTAATGGTAAATATTTGTTTGGAATAATTGATAAAGTTATTGTTATTTGGATTGATATTAGAGTGTTTGGATATTGATTTGAGACAGAAAATTTTTTGGGATAGTCCAAAAACAGGAAAAACTCTGTCCGATTTTCTATAAAATACCGATGCGGCTTACTTGGGGGCACTTGCTCCTAAGTACCAATCATGATCCTAAATTGAGTCGTGATAAAGTTGGTATTAGAGACAGGTTATTCTTGTGACAAATGGAACACATGTCGGAAGTAGAATCTCAATTATGGTTATGTAGTCGGCCATTCCCATAATCGTAATTTTGCGAGGGCGTGATAGGATGTGTCTTGTCTTTCATTTTTATTCCTCCGTACGTGTGTGTCGATTAGGGTCAAATAACTGAATCTGTCATTACTTATCCTATTCGTGTATGGCTCAGACCTGTTACCCTATAATATAATTTGGCTATAGGTTTAAACTTCAAAGACGTCAAATTTCGCCAATGGACATGCAGCCATCTCCAAGCAAAGAAATTCTACATAAGTAGTATACAAGACCAGTGAAAGGTTCATTGTGCCATATGAGGTGCTTTCCGGTAAGATGCGTAATAGAGTCCATTTCGGAAATTTATACTAATCCACTACTACATTGATAAAGGAGTGCTATCACAAAAAGGTACTTACCTCCATGAAAAAAGAAAAAAAATGAGATCTTTATGGATATAATAGATAAACATGAGAAGAATGAGCAACAAAATAGGGGCTCTAAAGTCCTCATGCACCTTGAAGATTATGGGGAACAACAAAATATTCTTAATAAAATTCTTAAAGTTGAAACAACTAAGTTTACTATTTCTGATAGTTCAAAGAATCCTTAAAGGTTTTAGTAAAATACTTACCACATTATGAGCTATAGGATATTTCATGAAGAGGTTTATGGAACATGCAACTTTTAGACTAGAGAACATGGCGAATACATGAAATGCTACGGTACTCTTAGAGATGCCAACAAGAGCAATACAACTAATTTGGGAATAATTTCACT